CCAACAGAGGGGCCAATAATGTGCCAAGCAGATTTGTAAAAGAAGAAATTGAACCCATCCGGTCCAAGGGCAGAATTAGAGGAGCCCATAAAAACGACCTTTTTAACTTCCTCATCCAACACATAAGATGTAAAAAGATTATCATAGCTGTTAGGAAGCATAAAACCAGAGGGAAAACAATCCAGGACCATATTGGAAGGAGGGGGATTGTAAAGACCTTGAAAAAAATGAATTATGGAAGAAACCACATCATATCTAGTAGATACAGGGTTGCTAGCAAGCAAATTGACCACAGATTTAGAACTACCCCTTCTAGTTCTAATTTTAGCATATAAGAACTTTAGGTCTTCCTTCCCATTTCTAATCCAGTTAACCTTTGCTCTCTGAATAATCCAAGAATCTTGTATAGAGGTAAACTTAGATAATTCCATATTAATCTCCTTGAAAGAGAGATTAAAAACTGAATTATTAGGATCTTCTTGTAACTTTCCCAGCAAGATAGCTTATTTTTTGTGCAAAATATCCAAATGGCTAGAGATACAGGTGGAAGAAGGCCAAACCTCTTTTTTAATAGCACATTTAAATTGTTTCAAAGAATTACTGAAATGAGAGATAGGGTTCCCAAAGCAAGGCTTAGAAAAAACCTTAAGAAGATGAACCATTAATTATCAAATTTAGTCCAGTAACTTTTAAAAAGAAACTTGTGATGCACTTGAAACCAGAGTGTAAAATAATAGGACAATGATCCGAACACGAGGGACTTTGAAAAGAGCAGTAGGAATTAGTGAAAACATTCAACCAACCCTCATTCACTAAAACACGGTCAAGTTTTATATGAATAAGATTGTTAATTCGTTGAATGAACCAAGTATACTTAAAACCAACAGATTGTAAGTCCATGAGACTATTACTAAAAATTATATTGTTAAAGTCTAACAATGCAGATTGAGTAATAGAAGTACCCCCCCCCCTTTTTTTTTAGAAGCATACCGACAGCAATTGAAATCATCAATTAAAGCCCAAGGGAAGTCACTTGCAGGAGCCAACTGAACAATAGAATCCCACAGCTCCTTGCGGTCAAGAGAGCTGTTAGAAGCATATATAACAGAAAGCTAAAGTAGAGGTTGTTTAGCAACCCAAATACCCAAAAATTACCTGGTGTGAGATAAAAATTGGCTTGAAGTTGAGTTTAGAAGTATTCCACTTGACCCATATTCGACCCGAAGAAGATAAAGCAAAGTTGTGACAACTTGCTTCATTCACAAAAAGGGAGTAAGAAGAATAAAAAAAAGGATCCAGTAAAGATTGGGAATTGATCCTGTTCTCCAAAATGCAAACCAAGTTTAACTTGAAGGATTCTATAAGACGCTTGCAACACAACACTTTATCAGGGTGATTAAAACCCCTGATATTCCACGTCGCTATGGGTGGAAAAAACATTAAATGTTTTGATGAGACTAAGGTTTTTTATTCTGCTTCCCCCTTGCAGGTTTTTTTGATACCACACTAGCTTGCATCTGTTTTATCTTTTCCGAGACCTTAGATTGACCGCAGGCAGAAGAGCCCAGCTTCCCATCAATGCCCACTAAAACATCATTTTGATGAATTTGTTCTTCCTCTAAATTTAGAACATCAAACTTATTAGGAGATATGATATCTTTAGGCAAAGAAGGGGATTTAGTGTTCTGAGTGGTAGACGAGGAAGAAACAGACTCATTGGGAGAGTTAAGATTAGGAATACCAGAAACAATAACGTCCTCAATAAGCGGTATCACACTTAAAGAAATATCACCAATGACAATTTCAGTGTTTGAGGAGGGGTTTTGAGGAGTGGGCGAATGTGGTTGATAATGCAGGTTGCCCGATGGCATTCATGATGATAGCCGGGGCTTATAAAATGGTTTGAGCATTATTGTTAAGTGGTTTGGGATGCCAAGGTAAAACAACCGGAGGCCTAGAAAAATTTTGGTTTCTAGATTTAGATTTGATATGAGGCTTTCTGCTGTAGCTCCTGCCTCGTAAATCAGCCGTATAATTAACTTGCTGATTAGAATAAGATTTAGGTTTTGTCGGACAAGATGATGAGAAAAAAATTAAAGACTTACAATGTTCACAGGGGTAAGGACGCCATTCATATTGAACTTTCAAGCTTACCACATCACCATCTAATGAAACTTGTATTTCCTTCGGATAAGTGGCTAAATTATCGACAAGAACAGAGATTCGGGCATAGGTGAGCCTAATCTTTTGCTCTGTAAGATTGTCCGGGGCTACTGGAACCCCGATCTTGCTGGCTATACGAGATATGCCCTCTGAATTCCAACATGCAAGGGGGAGGTCGTGGATTTTCACCCATATAGGGACAGATGAAAATTCCTCCTTCTTAGGTTTGAACTTCAGGTGCCACTTCTGAAGCAGAAATGGTTTCCCCAGCAGGAACCAAACATCTCTCGACCAGACCATGTCAAAATCTTCACGACAGGAGAATCGAAGAAGGAAAAAACCATCATTTAGAGAGAGTAACTGCATCGGACCTTTTAAGCTCCAAGTCTTGTTGATGGCCTCCCAACAGAGCCTTGTAGAAAGGTCTGCGCCCGATCAAATAGCCAACCAGACATAAATTCCATTCTTCACCACCCTTACTCAATTTATCACATGAGAAGGGAATAATATCCGGCTCAGAGGGATGATGAGAAAATTGAAGAGCTTTAGGAGCTTTTTCATCATAGACAAACACCTGATTCCAATTCTTCGGGAGAGAGCTCGCAATCCCGCCAGAGAATGAACCAAGTAAAGGAAAATCTAAAGTGTGAAGAGGAACATCCATTGAAGAAGAAGAGAAAGGAAGTCCTCCGACCTCACCATAGGAGGAGAGCAGAAGAAAAGTCACCAGAAGGAGGCGATGCGGGGAGGAAAAAAACCCTAACTCTCACAGCCAGCAGCGGTGTCTTTTTCAACCATTTCTATTACTCCATTTTAACTACATAATTTTTTACCTAATAAGATACATCTCTTCAAATCATTAGCTGCTCATTCAATACATTTTGAATGAAGTTGTAGATTCTCCTGCATTTCGATTTTCTCCAACGAAGAGGTTTAAGATGATGTCATTAGCCGCATTCATATTAGAGGTTAGTCGGCACAGCTGGTAAGTTCCTTCCTCCTAAATATCTTATTACTAGTTTCTCTATTTGACTCGCATGATAAGTTTAGCTGCTTCTCTAATGGTTTAGAATAGTGAAGTTGAAGATTCACATGGCTCACAAACTAACCTCAAAAGAGTGGAATCAAGAAGCCTAGGACGCAGAGGAAGCACTACAGGAAAAACGCCATTATAATTTAGATATACCGTAATTTTTACAATATATTATTATATTATAACATAAATAATTGTTTTAATAATAAATTACTAAAATAATAAAATAAATAATCATAAAAATTTATTACAACTTTTTTAAAACAGATTTAATTTTGTCGAAAATCCGCTGGAAATTTCGCCAAAAATTTCGTCGAAATGAAATACGTCGGAAAGGCAATCGAAAAACACGACGGAACTCAATAAAAAAAATTCCGTCGGAAATCTGCCGAAAATTCTGATGGAATTACCATCGAATTTATTTCCGCCAGAAATTCCGCCGAAAATTAGCTGTTTTCCTGTAGTGAAGACAT